TGGGCGGAAACATCCTGGATGACTTTGGGTTGGTCACTCTCTCTTAATCCAATCTACCATTGTTATTGCAGAAGAAAATTCCTGTTTGAAATTCCATCACTTTGTCCCTTCAAACATTACATATTGATTCTGTTGATGACACTGTTACTCTGTGCAAGGATTCTCAGGGATGGGTAGAAAGCCTAAAACTGCTGCTATGAAGAAGTCTGTGTAAGGCCTTCAAAAACATAGCACAAAAAAAGTACACTACCAAAAAAAAAATGTATATTATCAAAAAATAGTAGAAGTCAGTTGAGAGGAGTATCAGTAGTTATTCTCAAGCCATACATCTTCCTGGTGACTTTATGCATTTGACAGCTGAATTCAAGGAATCAGTTGGCATCCAGGACACCATACTTAGATTCTCCACAGTCATTAATGGATAGTTCAGGCCTGCTTTGTTTCATTCCCATCCCCATTTAGAAGACTTAAATTTGGGCCAATGCAATGAAGTGATGAAACATAGTAACCACAGGCCAGAGTCTAGTGTACATTCTGGCACGTGCAGTGTAGAGTTGCATCATTGACCCAACACTTTGAAACAGTTTTTCAGATGAGGAAGGCCGTAGATGGAGACAGAAAGTTTAACCAACATTTCTCTAATCTCCTTTTTCTTCTACCATTGTTGTCACAATGCCTCTAATTCTGAATACTTGATTTTATTTAGCTAGAGATCCCAGGGGAGGTTCTGCAACTGAGAGCTTTGCACTCCTTTTCCTGAGGAATAAGAAGGGTGGATTGATTTCCTTGAGTGGACAGAGCCAGGAGAGCTGCAGATTTAGAGTTAGAGAAGTTCATCTCCTAATTGAAAGGGAGGAAGGGCAAATCCTTGTTGTTGGCTTTGCCCATTCTTGCCTTTTGGATTCCAGGCACAATTTAGGAATTATTTAAATTGGAAGGAGCCAAGTGCAGATTGCTACTCAGCTGCAAAGCGCACTGATGATCTTGAGCCAGTTTCTCTCTCCCAGATAAACTAATTCCCATGATCCTGGTGGGAGAGGGGATATGGCGGGCATACTGTCTGGATACATATCTTGCACTAAGACATGTTTTATGTTAGTCTTGTTGTAATAAATCACCATTAATTGAATTCACACATCATCCTAAGCCAGAAACCCTGATTAACAAGCCACAATGGAATTCAAGCAAGGAGGGTCCCATACATATGACGTATTACTCAGCAAGGCAAATATAAGTATTTAGAATATGATTTTTAACGGGAAAAAATCTGACTTAGGAATTGAAATCAGAAACACTCAAAAATTTTAAATGTTTATAAATACCGTACATGAGTTGGAGTACAACAAAGGGGAAGTTAGAAGCTAATATTTATAATATTTTTAGTAGTTTTTCTTCTTTTTTTTAGTATTTTTAAATAACAAATAGTGGAGATTTTGGCACTTAGTTCAGAGACTCTCATTATTTCTTACACTGTTAAAATAATTTAAGACACTTTGTCTTTTTATGGTTAATTTCTCATCAATGATATACTGAGCCCTAACTGTACAATCTTGGTCATTCCTTTTTCCACTTACTGATAATATATTTCTGCATCAACTAAGGAAAAAAACCCTCAAGCTGCAATGGCTGATTGTACCCAACACACTAAGCCAGAACCAAACAAATCACACTTCTTTGCAATGTATGAAACAGTGCACTAAGTGGATTCCTATGTAAGGTAAGCCAAACAGTGACTTATCAAACAGTTGTTTTAATTTAGTATCTTGCATGAACCCAGGGATTATTGCTTGGTGACTTTTGGTGATTTGATGCTAAATTTCAGTGACACCATACCTAGGGAGTCTTTTTTTTTGGTGCCTTTGAGTCAGTGTTGACTCCTGGGGACTGCCTGGACTAGTCCCTGCAGTTTTCTTGGCAAGATTTCAGAAGTGGTTTGCCCTTGCCTCCTTCCCAGGGCTGAGAGGGAGTGCCTGGCCCAAGGTCCCCCAGCTGGCTTTGTGCCTAAGGCGGGAGTAGAACTCACACTCTCCCGGTTTCTAACCTGGTGTCTTCACCACTACACGAAACTGGCTCTCTACTGGGGGAGTCTAGAGACTATGAAAAGAGATAGGGCATTATTTGTCCATTAGATGCAGATAGTTCACTGCTGCTTTAGTAGATATATTTAGAGTTTGCAGCCTTAATCTCAGCCCCTTGGAAAGGATGATTGGCTCTTTAGACTCTGGAGTACAAACAGCTCTTGTTGAAAATGCAGAAAGTGTTGCAGAAATATTATTCAAACACAGCTTCTCAAGAGATAGTCTCATCTCATAGCTTTCAGGGAAAAAGTTAATTACATTTGTACAGTAAGCATGATTGGCGTATTGTTTGATTGAGTAACTGATTGCTGCGAGCACCTTGCTGTGATGAATCCTGTATTATTACTCGGTGTGTGTTTTGGTTGTTTTTTACCATTTACAGTTCTAAAAGACATCTCTGGAGTAATCGTTATTCCGCTGCAGGGAAAGATTGCATGCTGTACTGTGGTCTGCCCGTCTTACATTTCTTGCAGCTTGCCATTGCACAAAAGGACCCTTCTTTTAGGTAGGGCATCTAGTGTAATGTGTCGTGATGTGAATAGAAGGAGCAGATGGCAAGTGTCTAGCAATTTGTTACACAGTGCAGCTTGTAAAGGAATAGAACAGCAGCAGGTTGCAGAGCCAAGCTGCCTGTGTCATGTTCTTGTTAAAGTGGTTAAATCAGCTGGCTCCAGGATTCCAAGACTGTACATGTAAGAGTTCCTAATTTAGTCTGATACTACTTTAAAATATAGGACAGCACCTATTGGGCTTTATGTGAAAGATCAGGATCCATACAGGGTCACTGACTAGCTAAGGTGGGTCACTTTTTCTAATGGACCGTTGCCAGTTTTTTGGAAGGAAGGAAGGAAGGAAGGAAGGAAGGAAGGAAGGAAGGAAGGAAGGAAGGAAGACGCAATAAGGAGATGGTGGTGGTGAGGAAGCAATAGGAGAAAGACAAGGGAGTATAATGCAAACCATAGGTGGTTTTATACTGCAGGTTGCTGTTTTATATATGAGGCTTATTGCTAGGAATCTTCAGAGCCACAGTGTTAGTTGCTGAAGGTGTTGGAAATGTTTCTGCAGAGTTCCCGTTGAGGTGGGAATGCTCACTATGCAGTATAAATATGTCCTAGGTGGAAGGAAGTTGAGCATAGTACTTTTCCTTTGTTTGTTCCTTTCCTTTGTTTACTTAAGAGGTTGTGCATCTTCTAGACAGCTTTCCCTAACTTGGTGCCATGTTATGGAACTAACATTCCAGAATTTCCAGCCATCTGCATAGAGAATTTGAGGAGTTGAACTCTCAAGAGATCTGAAGAGCACTAGGGTGGGAAATGCTGTTCTTAGTAAGGACGAGTTTACAAAACTACCAGTATACTGTGACATATTTAAACATTAAAAAAGTCGAAGATCAAGAATAGAAGTATGGGAAGAGCTGTTGTCTCAGTCCTTCCTTCTAGGAACTTTTCTGCTTGAACCCTACCCCGGTTATCTTAGAGCTCATCCTCACATCCTGCTAAGTGCATCATGAAAATACCCCACTAAATATTTTTAGAGGACATATCTTCATGACATGCCCTTTGTCTTATCTCCTGCCCATTATGGAGGCAACCTAAATTCTTCCTTGGATGTTAGGGAGAGGAGTGTTTAAAGGAGTGTCTTCCAACTTCTCTTAACAAATGCCTTGGCATACAAATGATCTATGATACCTCAGTCATGATCTTGGTGACGGTCAGAGCTGGCATTTGTTGGCCAGGTGAGGCTGCTGCAGGTATGCCCCCTCTCCTGTGGCCAGTAGGAACTATCCTCCATGGACATTTTGACTCAAGATGCAAGAGAAATCAAGTGTTTGCTTTCTGCAGAGGCATTTGCCAGTGCAATACCTGACCCACATTTCACAAAGTGCCATTCAGGCATTATATGGGCTCTTGATATACACCATACACTGGACTGGGAGGTTCTGCTCATAGTCGCTCGTGTCTTGGTGACTTCTCAGTTGGATAACTGCAGTAAAAAGGAGGGGTGGATGATCTGTTTAAACTAGGAAGGAGATGTATTGCTGGTTCTGTCCCAAAGTGTACATTAGTGGTTTTCTGCTGCTTTTGCCAGCAAGGTTTTTTGCATGGCTACTTTCTGCTGTTTTTATTACTTTGGGAGGGGGGCAGTGTTATTTTGCATGCACCATGGAATGCTTATGGGTGCAACCATTTGCTGCCAGCACTGCCATTTCCTTGCATTATTTATGACTATTTGGAAGTTGGGATGAAATTGACAGGAGTTCTGCCAATTTTCCCCTCTAATTCAAGTGAGTGGGAGGCCTGTCTGCCAGTCTTCTGGAAGGCAGGGAAACGTCTGTCCCAAAATAACCCAGCTGACAGGTTGGTGGGGTAGAAGATGACTCGGGATGAAGCGAAAGGAGCTGTCTCTCAGTGCATCGTGCATTTTCCACTTCATCAAGCACCTCTGTCCTTCCCTTTCCCTATGCCAAACCCAAGCTGACCCAGAAAAACAATATTGATGCACAGACTGGGCAAAGCTCTTTGCGCCAGACAATTCTGCAAAAATAAAGATGCAAAATGTTATGTATGCTATTTTATTTTACGAAATGTCAGAGTTTGTTTTATTTTATGACTTGCATTTCCTTTCGTACTACTGTCTCTTAGCGTTTCATTTTGTTAATTTACAGGGTGAATTAAATAGGGAGTGAATATCCTTTCTAAAAGTATATTCTCCTAGTTCATGCCAAATATACCTCCCACACAGTGGGAAGTAGATAAAGTGGTACCAGATATTTTTGCAAAGGTAAGAGGAGATCTTGTCTGTAGAAGCTGATTGATTTATGAATGGTTTGAGAAACAGAGATAAGCTTTTCTTCTCTCTCTTTCATGATCCTGCATCTCAATGAAACTTTGCCGACAAAAGGAACAGGTCCATCCAATGAGACAGTCTGTTACCTTCCTGCTTTCTGTAAACATGTGACTGGCTGTTACTGGTAAGAGATCTGTGATGGATGATGTGATGCAATCAGGTTCTTCTAATGTTAGTTTTCCCTCCAACCAGCCTGAGTAACTAGCCGGGTAATGAAACATTTGCAAGAAAAGAACCAAGCTCAGAGAACCCCAAGGACTCCACAATTCTGGGAATTATAGGGATCATTAGATTAGGGAAAGCTGTTAGAACTGTCATTTTCTCCACAGGATGATTCGTAGTATGTATCACTTCATATTTTTGGGATGGCTTCACCATCATGCAGAGGTGATAGAGACTCTGAAATCCAAGGTTGTCCATGGAACCTTGGACAGAGTTGAATCTCAAGTGTTGCCCAATAACTCCTGGTGTCTCAGGGCTGGGCAACTGGCAGTACATTGAGGTGAACCAGTACTGGAGCCAAAAACTATGGATAATCCAGTAGTTGCCCCAAACTGGGGCTAGAGCAGGAGCAAAGAGCAAGCTAAGAATCAGTACCAAAGAACAGATACACTTAGGTCCCTTTCTAGAATTTCCAGGTGGAAGAAATAAGAATTCTGAAATTCTACTCCTCTGTGGCCAGAAAGATGCAGTGGTCAACCTGGGAGGGAGAAGTCAGCTTAGGCAGACTTGGCCCACCAGATGTATGGATTTCAAGACCCAGAATTCCCAGCCAGTATAGCTGAAATTCACACATCTAGAGAGTGCCCAGTTTGATGAGGTAGAAGGCCTAAAGAAAGTTCACTGAAAAGGTTGTCGTGTACAGTTTAGTGGTTTACTACGGGAAACCACATAGAGATCTCCAAAGTGTCTGACAGGGAGGAACTTGACATTGCCTCAGTTTTAATAAAAGTAAACTCAAACCACATCTTTTTGACCCTAGCCAGTACAGTAGTATGGTTCAGTTGTGAATTCTGTAAGGAACCATACATTCCATTCTTTAAGCACTAGCAGAAAGCCTTAATTCGTTGTCTTGCATTCCACAAATATTTCTAAGCTTCCCTTCTGAAATGCTGTAGCTACATCTTCCATCCAGATAGGCAGCCCAGCTTTCAGTCCCTACAGAGCAGGCAGAACAGATATACAGATGTTTGCAACATGTAACTACAGTATGAGGATAAGCTGCACCTGTTACATTCCTCTGTTAAAAGCATTAGAACTCAGCTATAACAAAGGAACTCAACAGCAGAGGGAGGTGTGTTACCTCCCATCCATTTAAAGTCCACTTGCAGACTTAAAAAAAAAGTATTGTGAATAGCTTGCTGTCCCCACCTTTCTTTTGGCACAGGCTTGTCTGTAGATGTGAAGTGGGATGTCGATCCATATCTGGAACAAATAAGACATTGTTAGAACTGATTGGCTGTTTTTCACGTGAATATCCAGTCGACTTCAAAGTGATTCTGAAATTCTTATTCTGTCCCATTTTCTTAATAAGGCAAATTCTGGGTTTAAGGACAAGTAAGTTTCTATCAATCATAGGAAATGATTGTGCTTATCTATAATTAGATGTTACTCAGATAAAATTCCTAACTTCTGCCATGATCACGCTACTGTGCTATTCAAAATAGTCCCTGTGTCTCTAAGTGTTTCATAGCTAGAGCTGAAGCTTCATTCCTGGTCGAAACTTTTCCATCTCTAGCTGGGCATTGGGGCTGAATCAGCCTAGCAAGAATGCCTGCAAGGGATTGTATGAATTTGTCAGGGGAAAGAAAAAGGCTGTTTTAGAAATTTAGAAATTCTAAGATAGTGCAGTTGTTTTGCAACTGATACTGTTCTGCTAACAGCTTAATTTGAAGCTGCCTCTAGGGTACATTTGGGACCCACTCCAACTCTTTCTTTGGACATTGTTTATTTCACAATGACACTAAGGCAGCAGCGATTTCCTACCTACCAAAAACAAGGCTGCACAAAACGTGTATTTTTGAAGAGACTGTTTTTGCAAATGATAGTTTTGACCAGGAGAGGGCCTTTGTCAGCCAATGGAAATGTTTATCTGGCAATGGTGAATCTTGCAGTTATTTCACTGCATTTTCTCTAAGAGAGTGGTTGCATCAACAGGCTTTGCTATAAAGAAAAGATCATACTCTCCTTCGTTCTTCTGTGAAATCCCCAAGAGGCACTCCTGCTCACCCTACTAAGATGATTAATCTAATAGTGTTTGTTGGAGTCTGTATGAGGCAGCAATGTAAAAGGCTAGGAAAAGAACATTTATCTGTTCTGCCTGTATATTACACTGATTACCCAGCATCTGATGATTATTGGCATGTGCTACTGTCCCATTTTCATGAATGTCTCATTTGATAACCCCTCTGCACACGCCTTTTCTCTACTGTGGATGTGCTTTGGTGAATATGCTGACATTTTTATGACCTGTTATGAGTTGTCACACATAAAGGAAAGAAAGCACTGAGAATGGTTTTCAATAAACACTATTTCAGGGCAGAATCTCAGTTCTGGGAAAATACCCCCCATGTTAGTATCAGACTGTCTCTGCCGCTCCACTGAAGTAGAGAATTGGCTTGTTGTCAGCGCTTAAAACATCTTGTTCAGAAGCCAAGTCAGCATCTTGTGGAAGAGTTCACAAGCAGAGGCTTGCTTCCTTTTAAGCTATGCAGTACACAAAGATCACCATGGGTCTGTCTATCATAAGACTTAGAATGCCAATCAAGATTGGATATAGATTTGAGCTGCAAAAATCCAGAAGACCACTATGTGGCAACAAGAATTACACAAAACACTTGGTCTTCATTGCTGTTTATTTGGTGGTGAGTTTTACAGCCACCTCTGGTGGTTATTTTAATCCAGCCAGGTTATGGTAGCCATGTTTTACACCATGCTTTTTGCATATCCACAGTCCTTGATGTATGTTGCTGGCATTTTGTGTTTCACTATTGTGAGAAATCCCTAGACATTTCAGATATTAAGACAGATTTTGGCATGTCCACCCAACTCATATACAACAATGGCTAGGAGTAGAGGATCTTACTTCCACCTCACCAGAATACTGTAGTCTCTACAAGAAGAACTGTTGTGGTGGGCACACTTCTTCAGGGCAGTTTTGTTATTCTCATTTTCTCATGGAGGAATTTTTGATGAGCTTCTTAGGAACATCAGCCTTCTCCGTAACATAATCACAAAGTTTTCCCAGAAAGCATCACTATAATCCTTGAAAGAATTTTATAAAAGAAACTGGTATCTTCAAATTACAGATAAGGGATTAAGATTTGTACTAGTTATTTTCCAGGCACAATGCAACATTTAATCTCCAGAGACTATGTCCGTCCTTCCTTCCTTCCTTCCTTCCTTCCTTCCTTCCTTCCTTCCTTCCTTCCTTCCTTCCTTCCTTCCTTCCTTCCTTCCTATTATGATCTTTGAAGTCCATAAGCAGTCTATATTGTGTGCAAGCCAGCCTGTTGGCAAAGATTCAGAAGAGCATTTTTGGTGCTCCACCACCCCATTTATGGAGTTGTGTGTTGGCTGAAGTGCATATCTTAGCATCTTCTGGAAGCACTTGATGCCTATTCAAACCTGAGTACCTTGTGGAACTATTCTATATATTCATTCTCAGAATTATTAGAAAAGGAGGGGAGAGATATTTGTATGCAATTGTATTACTTCTTGCTGAATTTCAGTTAGATTTTCCTGCCCTGATGCTTTGTAGATATGGCCAGGGTGGTTGGAAATGATGGGAAATGCACTGCAATGTGTCTGAGGTGGCAGGACAGAGAAGGCTACTGTTAGGGGGTGGTCGTTTGCCTAAGTGAATGAGTTCACGGCTGACATTTTATCCAGAGACTTCCTGCCTCGTTGCTTCGACTCTCTTTAGTCATTAAGCTGGACACGAGAGAGTTTTTAGAATTGCTTTTGCTCCATATTGAGAACATTTTAACTTGTTTTTTTCAAACTTATAAATAAATATTTTATTGTATTATAATTATCATTTGATAGCCTCCCAGTCACCCTGAAATCAGACATGGTAACAAATGGGTGATGGGCAGAGAGAGAATGACTTAACAATATTATTGGGTGTGTGTGTGTGCCTTTTGCTGTACTATGAGTAGAAAAAAATGGGAGATATTGGGCAGGTAACAGATGACAAAGTAAGCACTTTGAAAACTGTGTGGTTGAATGGGGAGATAGGTACTGCAGGTGTTCTTTCAGAATGAGGATCACATCATACATACCTAGAAGATCTCTCCTAATGATGTTATTCTACATCGGACTTAAAACATTTGTGACACATGCACACACCCTATCCTGAACAGAGCCGTGCTTCAGCTGCTGGGTACTTGCTAATTTGTCTGTTTTGGTACCATCCTTGCTAGTTTGCAGACCAGTAAGTCAAAGAAAACAGGAGCTGTGCAGAGTTTCTGGTAAGCCACTCTACCCACTTGACAGTCTTGAGTTTATTTCGGTAGGTCATGTAGCCTTACTCCATGTAGTATGTGTCTTTTAGTTCAAAATAAGTTCCTGGAATGCCCCAGAGTTTAGTTTGTTTGCTATGCTATTTGTTTTGGCCTCTCAGTCTAGCAATGCAGGAGAATCCAAAGTGCCTTCTGAGGCATTCAGCATATTTGTATATTTATGTCGTGATGTACTGTGAAAGGAAGGTGTGGCCTCAAGAGCTCAGCTGGTTTTTTGTCCACCTTGTGATTTGATCCACCTTCTGCTTTTGCCTGTGGTAGTACTGGAGGAGAAAGGGAGGGAGAGAATGAGAGAAAGAGAGGGAGAAAGAAGAAGGTCATGAACAAGAAAGTGGTTTAGCATTAGCATGTGCCTGTCATAGGGAGAAATCCGTTTAATGGAAGCCCATGGAGATATGCTTGAGCTCCGGCTGCTGTCCTCAATCAGGTTAATCAAACAACAGGATAGATCACCGACACCCTGAGGTCACAGGTAGACATGCCAAGACTGCAAACCGAGCTGATTCACCTGATGGTGAGGAGGCAGTGATGGCCACACCCCAGCAGTTACGGTTTCAGGTTCCAGTGATTTGTTTTCTTTGGACATAGTGGATGGGGGCGCAGGCTGAGAGGAGATGTGTGTCACTAGTAGCCATGGTTGACTCATTTCTTTCAGGATTGTTTTCATTGCTTCATTTGTTTTGTTTTGCTTTTCTTTTTGAACCACCTCACATTTTTGCTCTCATGAGGGTGGCAGAATGCAACCCATGCAGGCGGTAGAAACATTAAACTCATTGTGAGCGGAGATCAAACAAGTGAAAGGTAAGCATCCTTGCCAGATATTGTTTTTGTTATGATTCTGGAGATATATAGTACCATCAGCCTAATGTTGCCTTATACAACTTGTGACCTATCAGACCAGACCAGCAGCTGTATATGGCATCTCTCCAGGAAAATGAGAAGTTTGGGGTTTTTCTACTGGCTCACCCTGAGATGCCAAGAAATAAAACAGGTTGTTACTCACTTAACAAGTTGCAATAATGTGGCTGATAGGTAGGGTGTGCTCACTGACTGGCAACATTGCATGAAGAAACTTTACCCACTAGTGGCCAATAAAGGTGCTGTTAGAGTTATAAAAACTGGCCTGCGTGTATGGATGGACAGACAGATCGATGTGTGTATACACAGATTCACATAGGAATGTATACATAGAAGTCACTCTTTCTCCTCACTGGCCTGCTATTATTCTTAACACTGGCTTGATTGGCAATCTACAGTAACTAATAAATGTCCTCCATGTTACAAAGATTTCTACATGTTGTTGCTAGACTTTAGAGGACAGCAATGCAGAATAGGCTCTCTCCCCCCACTTCCCCCAATTATTATGCTTTGCGACGTGCTAAAAATCTGTCTCATTTGTGACTCTCAGTTTGGAAAACCAAAATCAGAACCAAACTTTCTGGTCTTTTTTATTGGTTTATCCCACTGTGAGTGGGTTGAATTTGCTGGGATGGGTTCCTTGCACAGACAGAAAAACACACACATTTTTACCATTGTTATGTTGACAGCGGAGAAGTAGCAGAAGGAAGGATGGGAAGAGCAATCTGAGCATAATCTTCTCTTGGTAACTTTGAGAAGTAATCTGTAATATACTTTTTCACATTTCTGTTGCCTGTAGTGAAGAATGAACCTTCCAAATTTATTTCCAAGCTCATACATAGACCATCTTCAATCTGGTGGCAAATATATGGTGACTGGGACATGTGGACATGACTGTCGTGTGTTTTTATTAACCCCTCTGTGAAACCAGGGGAAACGAACATCTTGAATTAAGTTCTTGTCTTTGATAAACTATTAAAGTTCCCTGGAGATGGTGCATTGATGGGCAGAAGAAGAAAGCCATATTATTCTGCCTACATGGGATAGGGGTACAGGAGCATCTTTCCCAGACTGTTTTGCTTTCCATGACAATGTCTTCCCATTTACAGTGTTGCAAGCAAATCCATAAATGGAGCTATTATCCAAAATAATAAGCAAAGAAATAAATACAGTTGTTAGCCTACCTATGCATGCATATTTCCATTTGTCATACATGGAGTACTAATAGCTTGAAGGTATAAAAAAAATTGTCCTTGAGGTGATTCCTAACTTGCCATGGACATATAGCTGTTTACAAGCTTATTCTAGTATATGTGATGTGTTGAGGTGGTTAAATACAAGCTGTTAAGATGGGGAGGGTGTATCAGTTCATATTAAAAATCTGAAGCTATGTAATTAAAATGTGGGGTTGGGTAGAAGACTTCTGGTATAAAGTTAATACAAGAGGGATGGCTGCGTTAGCTGCTATTGGAAACAACTTAAAAAAGGAGAGTGCATGGAATTCCTATAGTGGCTTTATAAATAAATTATCCAATAAACCTGAATTATAAGATTATTTCTATTCTAATCACTGGGATTTGGAAGCCTGCTGAAATCTTTGGGATTTATGTCTGAAGAAGCTAAGCAGGGTTGGGCTTAGTTATTTGAAAGGTAGAGCATAAGGGAATTACAAGGTTGTGGATTAAACTGAAGAGTCAGAAAAAGCACTCATCAATGGCAGACTGTTCTGAACCATTGCTGAAAGGCTGCATGGATGTCTCTTTATAATCACAAGGAGCCAAGCTCAGCTTAAGGGTATCTTCTCTCTTTTTAAAGCTTCATAGTTGAAGGTAATTGCTGAAACTTTATATAGAGAATATAATATGCAGTAACGTAGCAGTGCATTCTTATAGACTTTATAGACACATATGAATAATACGTGCTGAATTAATGAGGGGAAGCATGTCAACAATATCCTGGAGCCAACAGCTTACTGCCTTTAAAGGAGAGATAACCATCTCTTCTCCTTTTCGTACCAGGAAATCTGATTGCTGAATTAGTTTTCTTTTTTAAATCTGTAAAGAAATCACCTAGGGCGTTCTCAGTTACAGTGCATAAAAAAGGATTAAGAAAGATGTTGGAATTTAGCCCGAAGCTCTGCTTAGTAGAGTACTTGACCTCTTCAAGTCCCAGTATACTTTGATTTTTTAAAAAAAAATTAATCTAGCCAAAATATTATGGTATGCATTCGTACCACATTGCCTTCCCCTACAAGGATCTGGCAGCAGCCTTACATTCTTTGCAGCTTCCTGGTTTGATTTTTGTAGCACACTCTGTGTCTGAATTCACACAAGGCAGTAATCTGTAATGTGGTTTGTTTGATTTTGATGTTATGCAGTGGATGAATCCAGTTATAAAACAGGTTTATAAGCCACAGTTGATAGTTTATGAACCAGGCCACTGTGACCTGCTCAATAAACTGGGTAAAAATAAATGTGAGGTATATGTGTGAATCTGTGGCATGGTACCTGTGAAGGCTACCATGTTGGGTAGTTTAGTTATTCCAAATACAGCTGCCTGACTCTTCATTGGCGTTGGCTACATAAAAGAGATTATGGCTGTGTTTGGATTATTTTCACACTAAAGTTGCCTGTCAAATTCTAAGCACAGTTTAATGTTTCACCAATGACTGTTCAGTCCTAAAAGCCTCAGTTCTGGGTTTCTTAGGGAGCATCTTCCTCATGAATCTTCCCCAGAGCCTCCTCTGCCACGGTCGTACATTAAGTGACCTTACTGATTAAAGCAGTGTTTCTCAACCTTGGCCACTTTAAGATGTGTAGACTTCAACTCCCAGAATTCCCCAGCATGCTTCCCTTAGTCTGTCTCAAATTTCCACAAGCTTCCACAGCATGGTTGGAAGATAACTTTAATGGTAGGTCAGGAGTGTGGAAAGTTCAAGACTCTGAAGGCTTCATGCTTGTATTCTCTTTCTGCCTTGCAGATGTCATGGAATCCTCAGTATCGGAGTTCAAAATTCCGCCATGTTTACGGCAAGGCCGCCAGTAAGGAGAACTGCTATGACAACGTGCCCATCACCCAGAGTGTCTATGACAACCAGTTTTGTGCTGTCAATCCTCATTTTATTGCTGTGGTGACAGAATGTGCAGGTGGAGGAGCCTTTCTTGTTATACCAATCAGTCAAGTAGGTACCACCAAAGCCTGTCATATATAACTGGCTTATCAATGTGGGCGTGAAGGTATGTATGGGGCGGATAAAGACATGTGAGGCCAAATGTTTCTAAAGCCCAAATTAGCAACTCATTTTCAATGAGGGCTTTATTTTGTCCTGAGTGATGACTTGAAAAACTAGCAGTATTGGCTCTGATGACTCCGTAAGTTGATATACAAGCAGTGGGTTCATTTACCCCTTTCCTTCTCCCACATGAGCTCCTTGTGCTTTGAACTGTTCCTCCATCTGCAACTCATAAACTCCAGTAGAGCCTCCAGTTCTATCTACTTTGGTCAGAGGTGCTTCAGGGGCTCTGGTGACATTTCAGCCTGGATGTAAAACCTACATTGGCAATCTGGTTTGCACAGAGCTGTCTGTCTGGCACTTGTCAGAACTTACATGGGCTTCTTATAAACATGGGTTTAGTGCTCTTTTGAAAGACCATTAAAGCTGTGCTTAAGAATAGAACTGGTGGAGTCTTGAATGAAGCTGTGTGCACAGAAGATTTAAGTCAGGAAAGACATGCCAGTTCTGCCAGCTGTGTATTGCTGATTCTGTAACCGGTGAGTGCATTATAGGTTTCTGCTGGCTTCTGCTGGCAAGGGGTTTTGTGTGCTAATGCTTTTTAAATGTTTTATTGCTTTGGGGAGGGGCACCACCATTTTGCCCACTGGGAGTCTGCTGCTGGGTGCTACTCTCCATGGGCACTCACTCGTTTAGGCCATTTCCTTGCTGCTTTAGTCAAGGATGGAGCTCTCTCAATACTGAGCACTTCCTCCCCTCTTTGCCCCATGCTGTGTTAGTCTGACCAATAACTCACAGGGGTGGAAGAGCAGAATGGGATGAAACAGGGAGGAGCACCTTTGATGCTTCCTCCAACCCTTCCTCCATCCCTGTGACCAGTCAGTGGGCTGTTTCTGGACACAGGTCTGGCATTTGTTTGAAAGAGGTCTAAACCTGTGTCCAAAAATAACCTGGCTGAGAGGTTGCAGGGGAGGGGCATGGGGTGAAGTGGGAGGGAAGCCTCCTGATGTGCTGGGGGAGCTCTTTCCCGCTTCTCACTGCACTCCTCCTCCTCCTGCAGATTAGAGATGGGCAAGAAGGGCAGGACCAAGGGAAGCTGACTGGATGTCTTGCTCAGCAATTTACCTCACAGGGTAGTTGTTGTGGGTGACAAAATGGGAGGGGGGAGCACTATGCACACCACCTTGTATAAAAGGCAACTTTCAAATTGAAGGGAGGGAGGTGAACTGGTGGAAGGCACTTGAATGTGGCCAGGCTGGATATTAAACCAAGTCTGGTGGGGTGGGGAGGGCTTCCATGCACTGACTGAGCAATGCAGCTCTGCCCCTTTCTTCATACCTGGTGTGTAGCTCTTTGTCAGAAAGGAAGCCAAAGCTGCACTTGTTTAGTATGCAGAGCACCAGTTTGGGGTAGTGGTTCAGGCACCAGCTAGAAACCGGGAGACTGTGAGTTCTAGTCCTGCCTTAGGCACGAAGCCAGCTGGGGGACCTTGGGCCAGGCACTCCCCCTCAGCCCTAGGAAGGAGGCAAGAGCAAACCACTTCTGAAAACCTTGCCAAGGAAACTGCAGGGACTTGTCTAGGCCAGTGTTGTCCAAACTTGGCCATTTTAAGATGAGTGGACTTCAACTCCCAGAATTCCCCAGCCAGCATGAGTTGAAGTCCACTCATCTTAAAGTAGCCAAGTTTGGACAACACTGGTCTAGGCAGTCAGGGCTCAACACTGACTCGAAGGCACACACATGCACACATAATTTGATTCACCCAAATTGAGACAAAGGGGTAGCTTACAGTAAAACAGCTGTTTGTCCTCCCATAAAATGAAGTGGGGTGCAGCATGCAGGAGAATCTTCTTTTCTTTACAAAGGAACAAAGCGGGAATTAAGGGAAGGTTTGACTGCTTCCCATTCTGTATCCTGTGGCTTCAACTTAAGCCTGCTTTTTTTTCCCTTTTAGTAAAAGAAGAGTGACAATAGGAAGTGCCAAGCTGCCAGCCACCACAGAAAGGGTTGGGATGCCAGCCTTTCAGGGAAGGGACCAGCAAAGCCAAGCCAGAAAGTTTATCATGTCCTTTGGCTTTGCGCTGATGAATGAGTTTCTTACCTAGGAGTAGCTTAGGGTCTCATGCAAACAGAAGGCCACAGTAAGGGTTTTCCACCAGTCCCTGAAGTGGCAGAGAAGTAGGATGGCATAAACTGTGCCACCCATTGCTGATCCTTGTTCTGTCACAGTAATGGGACTAGTGAAGGATGCTGTTCCTGTGCACCTGTTGTGGGTCGAGTTAAGGAAATTAAGGGTAGGTGGGTGCTTAGAACAGCAGGTTAGCCAGTGATCAAGTTGCCCAATTAACAGGTTGCAGGCGCCAAGTACAGTGGGATGGAGTGCCCCAGTGTTCCTGGCTTGGCATAAAACCCCCTTTGTCTATGACATGTTGGTTGGATATTTTCTGAACACAGTTATGTGCTCTTCTGAAAGATTGCCTGAACCTTTGTTCCAAAACAGCCTGATTGACAGGTAATGGGAAGAGAAGGGAGGGCAGGTTGATGCAGGAGATCACAATAACAAGCTCTGTGGGTGTCTTTTGTGCAAGTGTACACAGTACTGTCAGCAAGAGACAAAGGAGTCCAGTTCTGATCTCATGGCCAGCAGCATTTAGTGCTGCAAAAGTCAGAATGGGGTAGGCAAAAAAGCATTGTACACTCCCCCAGTAATAAAAACAGTAAAAAATACAGGCACTTGAAATCTGTTATCAGCAGAAGCCAGTTAGTTGGCAGAACTAACAGCATACAGCTGGCAGAACCTGGTTCTAGCAAAACGTGGCTGAATTTACTTTCAGTGCTGCAGAGAACAAGCAGGGATCTAGCACTCTTTAAAAAGACCACTAAACTCACGTTTGTAAGGACTCCATATAAAAGACCTGGCAAGTACCATGGAAAACACCAGCCAGGCAGTTAGCAGGGAAGTGCCCTGTGGAAACCAACTATCTGTTTCTGCTGCATCCTAAGCCAAAAGGGCTGGGGGGGGAGGGCAGTTCCCAGGGACCGGAGGGGAGGGAGCATGGCTGCAGCATCTAAAGTAGCCAATAAAAGCTGGGCAGTTTCCAGCTCCTGACTGTATTAGCAACCACATCATCAGTGAAACATGCTAGATTTTGTCTCTGGGCAAAACTATGTGGGCATTATTTTAAAACTGGAACAGCTGAGGGCAACTAAGCTGCCCCAGGTATGGGCTGAGAATAAGAGAAAGGCAACATCATGAAGATATAGCAGAAAAAACAGTCCCGGGGGCATGTTTGTGCTGCCTGTATGTGTTCTGCGTAAGTAACTCAAAAAAAAAAGAGGCATAACATTTGCGTTCAGCCCTCAGCGCTGGAGGTTATGATAGACTTGACTGGAATTGACTTTACCTACTAGATGACAGCCTTGCATTATTTAATTAATTCGCTTTTACGGTGTACTAGCATTTCCCTCACAGCCTCCACTTGGGGAATGACTGCTCTAATTATTGTTAACTATAAAGAAGCTATCAGTAAGACATGCAAATACTGCTTTTTGCTTCTGCCCTCCACCTCCCTTCCTCTAATCTGTCCTGTTACATCTGTATGACTACATATTGCCCTGGCTCTGTAACAGTTAGATAAAAAGGTCCCACGCTGTGCTCCCTCTGTGTTGTGTTTATCATGAAGCTATTATTTCTTTTTATTTCTTTACTTTATATATGCCCCACTTTTCTGCTTTGGCAAGCATTTAAGGTGGTTAACAAAGTATGAAAACAAAGCATTAAAAGTTTAAATGAAGAATAAAATTATTGTTGCCAGAGATAATTTTAAGTATCACTTTAATTAATGATACTAAAGATCATTTTACAATACTGAAATTATCTGACAAAAGCCTGGTGATTGAGATGCACCTTTGCAGATTTTCTATCTACTGCAACAGTGGCGTCCACATGCATATCCAAAAGAGTACATTTTATAGCTTGGGTGCAAGACTGGAGAAGACCTTCTCCCATGTGCTAGAAAGAGAGGCTTCTGTTTGTAATAGAGAGGCATTGACCCTTAGATCTAGGCCTGGAGTTGTTCAGGATTTTGAAGGTCAGGACCAACACTTAAATTGTTCCAGTTGGTAACAATTGGTAATCCATGCAGATCTTTCCATCTAGGCATCATATGATCCCTGTATTTTGCAGCAGTTAGCATCCTGGTTGCTGCATTTTGCACCAGCTGCAACTTCTGGAAACCTTTCAAGATTTGGCACATGTAGAGGGTGCTGCAATAATCAGGAGGTAACCAAAGTATGGATGCTGTCACCAAATGAGACCACAAAAAGCTGGAGATGGCACACAAGAAAGAAGGGTACAGAGGTGCTTCCAGCCACAGCCATGACCTGCGGGTCCAGTGACAGCTTTGGATGAAATTGCGCTCCTGGGCTGTGAACCTCCCTTTTCAGGGGGAGTGCAGTCTTGTCCCAAATAGGCTGAATCTCAGGCCCTGAATCCAGGCTTCAGCATTGCGTATGTTTATGAATGTACGTATGTGTTAGAGTAGTAGACGGGAGAGAGATCAAAATTCTGTGGAAGCACCATAAAGTAGGGATGAAAGATCTCTTCACCTCCTGAAAGAGCCTTGGTTGATTAAAGCCCTGTTCAGGCCATAGATCTGAACAAACAAGGAATGGTGAGCAACTTCTCTCATCTCCAGTTGTGCTAAAGAAGAGACTGCCTTTGTGAATTCATCCCAGTTACCTACAACAGATTTCAAATCATGGGAAAGCCTCCATGTGAATGTTTCACATTTATCGGAACCTGAGACAGCAGAGAAATGGTTTAATCTGAAGGAAGTTGGTTTGCACCAGAGTCATATTTCAATATTCTTTATACTCCATGTTACATCATACCACAGAGTGACTAAATCCCTTACAGACATCTTGGGGAGAAAAACCTGTCATTTCAAAATGAAGAAACAGGAACCCTTTTTATTTTATCAAATTTTCTTTCACCAAAACATTGTCAATTTCAGTGGAAAAGATGTAGCCTGTCTTACAACTGCTACTGGCTGAAGAATAAGCAGCGTCAGATCTACTTACTACTTGAATGGGAAACATCAGGAACTTGCAAGACTGTAGGCTAGACTAGGAGGTTGGAACAAATATCTTAGAAGAAGGCAGCAGCAAAGCCCTTTTGTATCATTACCAATAAACTGTAATGTCATGCTCTCTGAGTGAGATTTTAATTTAACTGGGGCCAGAAAGGCTGTGGAGCATGTCAATCTGCAGATTTTCCAGCCATCTCCCTTCTCTGGTGTCTTCTTTTCTACTCATGGACTTTAGACTAACACAGTTTGGAGAAGAACCAGCCTTGGAAAGAGCTTCTGAAGTTGGATCTTCTCTGATGGCAGACTTCTCCCTCCAAAAGCAAGGTGTGATATAATCTTAATGCACCTTGGATGATGTGATGGTTGGTTCCCCAGACTGTTAAAGATTCAGGAGACTGTTAGGTAAATGACCAATTGCAGACTTCTCCTTTATCAGGACAAGAGTGGCCTTTTGACTAGATCATAGAAAGTCTGTTAAAAGAAATGGAAGAAGTGTCTGCCCGAATGTGGTAGGGGATAAATTGGTTCCAAATAGGAAATAGTCAGATGTTGGAATGTTTGTACCCCATCCCTTTCATTTGAATTAAAAGAAAACCCTGTGAGAATCTTGCTTGGGAAGAATTACTTTTGGTTTGAAGCAGCTGCCAAAAAGCCTGATAAATGTTCTCCTGGAGGTCTCACAGTTGTGGCACAGATGTTCACATAAGGGATTGGACAAAAAAGAAAAGATAGAACAACCGTTAAGATAGAATGGCATTATTTTACTTGGTATTGGGTGGAATTATACTTATTTTTTATAATACATTTTAAAATAATTCAATCAACATTTCCATCAAAATATATTTTAAACATCTTTATTTCTAGAATAATTAGTGCTCCTGCTGAAGCACTGGCATAAAAATGTTAACGGTTTTTTATCAGCATAGATATATTTTCAACTTGTCCTAAAAGTATACAGTTTGTATGCATACACAAAGCATTTGGGATTTATCTGTGATTTATGTGAATACTCGGTTAACAATGGTAATTGGGACCAGGAACTCCATCGCTAAGTGACATGGTCTTAAAGCACAATGTCACATGACCACACCAACTTACAACAGCAGACATGGCAGATCCAGTTGTGGTCATTAGGCGTGATGTCATATAATTGCCATTTGTGACCTCCTGCCAGGTGCCCCATTGATTTTGTGTGTTGGAAGCGGGCAGTGAAGGTTGCATATGGCGATCATGTGACCACAGGAGGCTGTAAAGTTGTAATTGCAAACCAGTCGCCAAGTGCCTGAATCACAATCACATGACTGCAGGGACTCTGCAACAGCCACAACTTCGAGAACTGGCTGTAAGTGTCTTTATACAGCACCATTGTAACTTTGAATGGTCACTGAATGAATGGTCTTTAACTGAAGACTACCTGTATAAGCACATATATGTTTGGTAATATTAAGATGAATTATGAATATAATTTTATATTTTATATTATATTTTTATATGAATATAAAGCATTTTATATTTAAATGAAGGGGGAACAAATTAAAAATCAGCCTGCTTTTGGCCCAAACAACTGAGACAAGAAGCATGCGTCCTGTATTGTTGTTGTTGTTGTTGTTGTTGCTGTTAATAACCTTTTCAGAGAACTTGTCATTGTGGAATTAAACTTTGCCATTTGTTTTTAGACAGGAAAACTTGACCCGCATTACCCTCGCATCTGTGGGCATAAAGGAAATGTATTAGACATCAAATGGAACCCTTTTAATGACTTTGTAATAGCATCGTGTTCCGAAGATGCCACAGTAAGTGGGAGTTGTGAACCTTTGCCTGGTTTAGACAGAACACTGCCTAATTTCCTAACAATGTGAAGAGAATCAGGAGTACAGCCTCACAATTCTAGTAATTACAGTTAGTCTTCACATCTGGATAGCACAGTCTACATCATGCACATGGACTTTTAACAGTGGTTGTAAACTGTGGAGCTAACCAGATGAAATGAAATCTGATGTAGATAGAACAAATTATCACTTAGCATTTCTAAAAGTTTGGGCAGGATGTCAAAACAAGTATTGTGACATTGCAATGCAAGCTCTGCCCCTGCATATGTGTGTGTGATGTCATGATGCATGTTCAGAAGGGGCAAAACTTACTTTCAACTCATCCTTCATCATTTGTCCCCCCATGCCCCTTGCAGATGCACATGTTATCACTGTTAACTGTGGAGATGAAATTATGCAGAATCCATATGCCAGGGTGACATCTTAATGCTCCCGATGGTTAGGAGACTCCCCAGTGTCATACCCGCTGGTTCTGACGTCGTCATTTTTCTAAGACCTTCCAAAAGATAGCTGCTAAATTCCCCAAGTAATATTATAGTATTGGATTGAGAAGTTTGAAAGCCAGGTTCATAGGACATTAGGTGCCCTTGAGCAAGATTGAGGTCTTTGCCTACTCTATCTCTTCAGGTTGTTGAGAGGCTAAAATGCCATTCTTTGGAGAAAAAATGGGAAGTAAAGTGTCACAAAAAAAGAAATGCAAGTGAAGAGAACATTTCTTTGGACAGAAAACATGTTTGATACATGGCCTCTCTTCCATCTTGTACCAGAAATGCAGGGACTAAGACTAAACAAATCCCCTACTTCCATTTTGATGGATGCCAAGGTTGGCTTCTGCTGTGCAGATGAATCTTTCTTCTTCTCTTGTTGGTAGCCTGTGTGTGGTGTGGAGATGAAGTAACAGTCAAAGGACCCAGGACAGGATGAAGGTGGGGAGGCACAAGAGGTGTCTCCTGTTCCGTTCCCTTCCTTGCCAATCATCTATTCCTGCAGGCTCAGCAGTTGATTAATATTGTTCTTTCATGTTATTGCTCTTGAATGCTGCTGCACTGAGTGACAGATATATGGGCTAATGGAGCCTTCCTGGATTGTGCTGCATCCTTCTGTCTCTTAGGTTAAGGTCTGGAATATTCCCCAGCACTTGCTAACGAAAAGCATCACAGATGCCCAGAAGGAGCTTCTTGGTCACTCCAGAAGGGTGGGGCTTATCGAATGGCACCCAACTGCAAGTAACATCCTCTTCAGCACTGGTTACGATTACAAAGTGAGCTGAGATCTTATGAACATTCATTTCAACCTTGAAATACTGTTAGATTGCTTCATGAGGGCCTTGCGTAGGAAGCTTCAAGTCCAGGTGAGGGAGGAGAAGGAGCATGTATGCCACAGTGGAAGAATTCCATTCCATTTATTCATTTCGGTCTTCGATGTAGATAAAGTTTAGTTTAGTTTATTATTAGTTAGATAAAGTCTAAATTGGCCAGACAAAATTAATCCAGTCATGTTGTACCTTTAATACTAAATGTTTTTGGAGTCAGCACCAAAATCGAAATAAAATAAATTTTATTAAATAAATAATAGTTTACCTTACAAAACTTATAAACTAAATCTATAAACTAAAAACTACAAATAAGGGGAAAAAAAGTCATCCTTTTAGTCATTTCCTTCCTCTGAAATCAGAGTTTGTGATATATCATAGAAATGGACATTGTATATATGCTGGTCTATGACCGTAATAAAGATTTGACTTGATGATTATCTATGCAGATTACCTGCACTACAGAATTCAACAATTATTTCAAGCACCCTCTTCCTCCTGCCACTCCCTCATCCCTCTCCATTCAGCCATGGTGCCAGATCTTGGGCTTCTACTATAGATGCATAGAGTAATTTGGACCTGCATGGAGTGAGATAGTGTCGTTGGGGCATCACATTTGGGGCATAGTTCCTGCATGTTCTTTTATGGTCTGCCTGCTCAGTGGGTGGAAAGTTCAGAAAACATTCTCAGATGCCTGCCTTTTCGCCACAGATCATGATCTGGAACCTTGATACCAAAGAATGTACAATTGAGATGCCGATAAAGACAATCGGTTTCCATACAGATGTCATCCTCTCCATGTCATTCAACACGGATGGCAGCCTCTTAGCCACAGTCTGCAGGGACAGGAAAATAAGGATCATTGACCCGCGAGCAGGAACTGTCTTTCAGGTAAGTTGGTTGAGGAGAATGATTGATGGGAACTGTAAGGCTGGTTCTTACTGTACTGTGAAAGGAGGCTGCTGTTTGTAGGGTACCTACTGGATAGTTTTAGGCAGAAGGTGAGATGCCTCTTTTTCCAAAGCAGCATTGTTGGGGGCAGGCTATCTGGTTGCAAGGACTGGCTCTGACCCTGATCCAATTTACAGTACTTGGAGGGTTACAGTCAGACAAACTCCCGAACATGCAGGCTTGTCATGTTCTAGAGATGGGAAGGACTTCTTAAAGTCACTTCCTAAGAATCCAGAGTTTGAGCTGAAATTCTTCCCTTATTTCGAACTATATTAGAGAAAAAGTGGATGGAGTCCTCTAGCCTCAACTTAATTTCAGAAGATCTTTGCAGGTGATCCATCTGTATCTCTGCAAAGAACTTTCTTCCCTCATTAATCTGTGTGGCTGGGGAGGAAAAGAAGGGGTGGAAAAAGAAAATGAAAGGGGGTGTGATAGAAAGACATATTTACATTTAATACTCTAAGGCACTTATATAATAGAATATTAAGAATCTAAGTATATGATATAAATATCATTGTATCGAAATAACATATTGTACTAACATTGAGAAGATGGAGCAATAGATGGTCTATGGCTAGATTTAATAATATGTTAAAGGATTGAGATAGTTTTATATTAACATTTTATGGATATACTTTTAATTTCTACAAGTGTTACTCATTTATTCATTATCCTATATTTTTTTTCTGATTTTATTAGTACTCCTATATCTTTGGTTGTACTTTATCATATCTTCTGGTTGTTAACTTATCAATAAATATATATAAGAAGAAGAAGAAAAGAAAGATGTACAGAGGGATGTTCCCTCCATCCCTGGTTTTAGCCTTGCCCACAGTTAGTGCCTGCTCCCTGCAGATTATCCTGGAGGACAGAGTGGACAATCATTTTCAGATTTAAGATTGCATGGTCCTTGTTACATATCCTGAGGGTCAAAATACTGTAAAATGACTGGGTGGGGTCAGAATGGGAAAAAATTGGATGAATCAGCATGTACAGTACTGCAAGTCCTGCATGGATATTCTAAAATTTATCTTGGAGTGTCTCAGGCCCCCAAATATGCTGGTTTCCCTGGATCTCTCAGGCCATTTACTTCCATGTGCTTGTCCACATACACATACCCCATTTCAAATTTCTTGGGGTTTTGCACAGGGTACCATTTTCAATATGCTGCTTTCCCCTTCAGTCTGTCCCTAGAAAATCCACAAAGATCCTGATGGTGCTAGTAGCAGACCTTGGAAAACTGGGAATCCACATCTACCCTAGTCTGGACAATTGGATCTTCCAGAGTATAAAAGTTCTGCAATGATTATCTGCTTAATATAGCAGTAGAACCTTGGATGGAGGAGGAATTGGTAGTTCTTCATTCTAGGACTCCTTCGCATCTAATTCTCAGGTCCTTTGGCTCTCCATGGGGTCTGAGGACACTTCTGATGCCTCAAGGAAAATTGGGATGAATATTCAGGGAGCTATGGGTTTTGTCTAAGGCATGGTGGAAGCTGATCTCCTGAGAAAGTTCTAGCTGAGCCAGAAACAAAGCTCAAAGATTGGTGATCCCAGTGTCCAGCAAGAATACTGGGCAAACTAGGCCTTCAAAGATCATGTTAGACAAAAGAGAAAAAGGTGGAAGTTGGAGTTCCTAAGCAATCTGAACCAAAGCAAGCAAGACTTGAAAACTGGCTTGGAGGATATTATTTTGCACTGCAGAGACTGCAGGAAATGTGAAGTTCTGCTTGAGCAAATAACAGGAGCCACCAGATATGGCTACTATTCTCTACTGCTAAGAAATATTAGTTATGCGGGTTAACAAGACTTTCTGTGTACAATTTTGTTCTCCATTCACATAAATCTGTGCCATCCCAGGAAAAAGAGAGAAGATCCCAGGATCAACTGTATTTGCTTGAGATATGATTTTCAGGTATTAACTGGAAGCCACCAAAAGTCAAATTGATTGCAGTGGGGTACAAATGTAATACATAATAAATAAATCTTCTTTTGTTGGCTTATCTGTAACCTGACTTGTGGATGCCAAGGTCTCTGTCCTGCTCTGATAGTTAAATAGTGGTGTAGAAGATGGGCCATTGGTAGGGCCGTCCTTTCCATAATTTCTCAGTTCTGGTCATTCATTCAAGTGGTGCTTGATTCATAGTGGACAAAAATGGCTTGATAGGAAGCCCCATGATCTAGACAGCCTTTTAATTCTATTTTTTAATTAGCCCATCTTTTAATTAGTCTGCTAGTATTTCTTAGACTATATTGCTGTGTCAGCTAAATGTAGCTATGCAAAGGCGATGAACTTGGGTGGTTGTGGAGAGATTTCAGAAGTCTGAAGAATTAATAAGGGTAGGCAGACTTCCCTGAAAGGAGAAATGTGTGGGGTACTTGATTTCCTGTAAGTAACATGCTGTGCCTTGTTACAGGAAGCAAGCAGCAAGTCTCACCGAATGAACAAAGTTGTGTTTCTAGGAAACCTGAAAATGCTGCTCACCACAGGGACATCCAGGTGGAATAATAGGCAGATTGCCCTTTGGAATCAGGTGAGTATCATGGAAAACAGATGTAAGATCACTACATTGATGTAGAGAATAAGGAAGATGACCTTGATAGAGATATATAAGTTCCATTGCCAAGGTGGCAAGGGGTAAAACATGCTTTAAGTCCAGAATGTCCAGAGAACATTCAGAAGCAGCTCAGGAAGTCACCTTTCTAACTCACTGAACTAACTATAAGGGGAGGAGGTACAGTACAATCAGACTTGCAAGATTCTGTTATAACAGCCAATCTCAATCAAAGTAGTTTTTAGCCTTCCCGTGGAATTGATTTCTTGGTCTGGTCTGCCTAGAGGGGCTGACAACCAAGGACAGTTTAGTTCATTCTTTTAGCTGTTCAGATGTGATGCTAGTAAGATTTTGGGAGTATAAAGATTTGCTTATATCAACCTCACCTATACTCTGAACTGCTGTAACTTTGGGACAAGCTTGCCATGTCCCTGAGATGTATTTCTCATGGAGGCTTCTTTCCGATAGGCTGTTTTTCTATCAGAGGGGACTTGTGCTTATGAAGCAGCATTAAAATGTGCAGCTGTATCCCAGTGTCTGAAGTGGTTCAGCTTAGGAAAAGCTTGACCATTTAATTGGGCTGATTGCCTAAACTGGTCCTTAGTTCTTGGGTTTGCTTTACCTTGGTCAGAATTTGGGTTAGACTGGAATGTTGTTGCAGTTCAAATTAAGATAGAAAACTCAAGAGCTCTGTTTTGAAAGTGATCTATATCACTTAGTTTGCTTGCCGGAGAGATCTGGAACAGTTGCATTCCAAATTCTTTAGTTTAATCCATGTAAGTGTTAATTGCTTTCTCCTCTTACATTGCAGCCTCTGGGGCAGCTAGTCCCATTGCTAGCTCACTTTTATATCTGGGTCTCAATGGGGCCATAATAGATAAACATTAAATATTCCCATATAGCTGTCGATAGGAGATGAAAACTTGTTGTTCTTCTCATAAAGAATGCCCTAATAAATTTCCAAAGAAACCTGTGTCAATCCAAGAGTATGGTTTGCACTTAATTGACTTCTGTGGTCTAAGTCTGCTTGAATCTGAAAATTCTTACTGCATTGAGCAGAACACTATTGGAAATTGTAGGTGAAACTTGGAACATTTCCAAAATAGTGGATTGCTCTGGGATTGCCTTTCAGATGTTCAGTTCAAATGCACTTATCCTTTCCTAGAGTCAGCAGCCAGCTCTTGGGCGGAAGAATCACAGAGTTCTATGGATTTCAAGCAGAAGTTGGAAATGTACAGGACTGATTAGCTCACCCCTATAATGTCACCAAGATCAACTATTTTATAGTCCTCAGAATAATTTAGTCCCTTAAAGAAGACATGAAGGAAAGTGAAAGTTCTGCTTCACATAGGGTAGGATGTCCATTCATTGGTATAGGCACATCATTTAAAGTGCCAGGAGGAAGCTAAGCCTGCAGGATGGCTTGAGATTTCACTCTGTAAGCACTCTTGTCATATTTATGCCCTAATGTTACAGTTCTCTTTGTACTGCTTGAAATGATACTGGTGCACAGTTATATTTTTTTCCAAGTCCAGGTAGGCTGAGTTCTCTCTGTGATGGGAAAGTCTGCTTTGCATCATTTCTGCCAATGAGGACTAATATGACTAAAAATCCTACCCTCCCAACCTACGGTACCTTCTCCAAACAGGACTTCAGTGCAAAAAACCTGCAGCACCATCTCTTGGACCTGTGTGTAAAAGGTGTTTTAGTTAGTTTGCTTGGAATTCCCACCTGCAACCTGAAGTGTTTTAGCACAGATTCAAATGTATCACTACAGTGAGAACAGGGTCTGTTTGATTTATTTTGGGGGTATGCTGATTGTCTGTGTTCTGTCATTTTCGTGATACAGTGAAAGCCTTATAGCAGCAGTTTCTGTTTCCCTTACCTATTTCGCAGGATGATCTTTCTGTGCCTTTACTTGAGGAGGATGTGGATGGGTCTTCAGGCCTCTTGTTTCCTTTCTATGATACCGACACACACATGTTATATGTGATAAGCAGGGTGAGTTCTTATCCATAGACAAGTTGAAATAATGGGCTGTGACTATATTCTGTATCTGCAAAGCAATACAATTAGTATTTAATAATTTCTGTAGAGTCTGCCAGCTTCCAGCTCCCTTCCAACAAGAGCTCTTGTTGACTAAGTTCTCATGGCTGAGGATAGGTGATGCTACTCAGATGTTGTGCTGCTTTTCCAATATTGCAATTGTTCTGATTTCCCCCCGTTTTTTTTTTACTGGCAGAATTTAGGATGTGGAAGTGTTTTGCTGTGTTAGCTACAGATCCAAGATATATGAGAAACTTGTAATGGTGTCGGACTCTAAGGCTGATTGCCCTCACTATGTCCCTCAAGAAAAGTTGAGGATAATTATATTTGTTACATGATTTTTGCTCATCTAGAATCTGGCCTAGGCATATGCGCTATTGCTTCACCTGGCTATACTTACTACTCACCATCCTTTAATAGCAAATAGAACCCTTCTTCATAATCTAGAGCAGCATTTATGTAACCTGGTTATCTTTAATATGTTTCTTGTAATTTCCATCCTGCAATGGCCTTGTTCATTAAGAACTATAGTCCTAACTCCTATGGAGAACTGTTTGAAAGCCTGGATTGTAAACATTAAAGAGTCATCTATATTCTATATTGCAAGGCCCATTGATAAATTAGATATACTGAAAACAGATGGCCTGTCTCTTGACTTTAACTGTGAGTAATTCAACATTTGCTTGGAGCAGTGAGTAGGGTAACTGACCCTTTCTTTACGGATTATTTTTCTTTATCATAATATCCCATTGCTCCAAAAGGCTCCTTCAGGAGAAAGATTAATCAGATAGAAATAACTTTTCTTGGGAAGGAGAAAAAACTGTTTGGCAGGGGGTGGGGGAACAATTCTCTTCCCCCAGCTTGGATGCAGTACAGATTAGATCTTCATTCCCCTCCCACCTTGCCCCTCACCACAGCAACATTAAAAAAAAAATGGTATGTGTTACCCATGTCATTTAGGCCATCTTGGATAAGAAGGTTCATTTCTGATAATTTATTAAAAATATTGTTAAAGCCACTTTTCATTTTAATTACCAGGGCAGTATAGAAGAGTATGATTAGAAATAAAACTACAATAAAGGGAAAAAGAATATAACTGTAATCAAACAAAAATCACCAAATGTAATAGAATATGTAGCTCCTGCAGAGAAGACTAAGAAAGGATAGAAGGAAGAGGGAGCTACATGTTATTGTGAACAGCATTGGACTTCCAAGAATAATTTAATCAAGTCCAAGTCTGAGTTTAATCCTTCCCAGAGTGGCTTCCTTTTGAGAAAAGAGGTCTTACAGGAATTCCCCACCCTCACCCCCAGCTCTGGCTTCTCCCCTGGAAAGAATTAAATACTGTATATAATTAATGGGGAATGGAGCTGAGCATACATTGAATTTGTATCTCTTACCATTGTCTTTAGGGAGATGGGAACATCAGGTACTATGAAATAAGTTTGGAGAAACCATACCTAAATTACCTGATGGAATATCGTTCCCCTTTGCCCCAGAAAGGAATTGGTAAGTTTGCAGTGGTTTCATTGGCGCTGGGGAAGCTCTAACGGGGTACCTGTAAACAATAGATGCATTGAGGGAGGGGCAGCTGGTCATAGGCAGATAATAAGTGTCAGCCCAGTTTTGTCATGCTGCACAGCTTTGGCTCTTGACATTCATTTTACTGTGTCTTTATCACTGAGAATGTTGATTAAACCAGCCTTCTCCAACCTGGTGTTCTCCTGATATGTTGAATTACAGTTCTGATTAACCCCACCATAGACGTTGGCTGTGTTGGCAGGAGGTGACTGAAGCTGTAGACTAGTACATCTGGAGGAACCAGATTGAGGAAGGTTGGGTGGAAACATGTGCCGGAAGGACAAGAGAATTTTGACAATTGTCTTTTCACCTACTTCCAGCTGCTCTAAGGAGTTTTCATCTACTCTATTTGAAAGCATAAGAGCAAGAAAGTCTCCATCTTAGAAGATTGATTGTGCAGATCTGCTACTCCATGGATATAAGGAGAGTGGATAATCCCAAGCCTACAACTATGGAAGTGATTACAATTATAGAACTTCCACAAGTTCTGCCTTGTTAGACTATGAGACTGGAAGAGGAATGAAATGAAGTGGCAGGAGCTGTTAGAGCATGCTGGCTGGGGAATTCTGGGAGTTGAAGACTTAAAGTTGTCAAGGTTAAGAAACATTGTGTTACAGACAGGGAGGTTTTCAAGTTTTTACCTAGCAATTCCAGACAGGATCAGAAAAGAAAGAAACATTTTAGTTACATTTTAAAACTAAATTACAGATGGAAGTAATTTGTTCTCTTAAATAAAAGAATAAAAATGTCTGGGCCTAGGGAATAGTACTGGTCAGAGGAAGGATTACAACCTTGTCTGTTTCCCTCCTGCACGACTCTCTTCTGTAGAAGAGAAGAGCAGCAGTTGGATTTCCCAATCCCATGTTTTGGCTGAATGTTGTCTTGTCCTAACTTTTTTTTTTACTGCCGTCAGGTGTCATGCCCAAGAGAGGCCTGGATGTCTGTGCCTGCGAGATCTTCCGATTTTATAAATTGGTTCCAGTCAAAAGTCTGATTGAACCCGTTTCTATGATTGTGCCCCGCCGGGTGAGTGGATATCTCTACTTTGGAAAAGCGGCAGGGAGGGGCTTCGTTTTGAGTATAGTTCCCCAGATTCAGAAATGTGAATGTGCTCTCATGTTCCTTTGCAGTCTGAATCGTACCAGGAAGACATCTATCCAATGACAGCTGGGGTCCAACCAGCACTGACAGCACAAGAGTGGCTGAGTGGCACTAATAAAGGTTTGTGATGCTATTACTTGAACAGCCAGAAACAAACGATTTTGCTCAGTCATCTGCATCACATCATGTTAAGGGTAGATCTACAGTAAGGCTGGAGGCACACAGGTACACGTAATAGCAGTACTACAAACTAGATCACACTATTTAGAATTCCCATAAGAAAATAAATTGGCAAAAACAAATCACCTTCAAAACTGTGAAACAATTGTCTACCTTCAGTGTTAAGGCAGTTATCTCAATCTATGTAAGTTATGTACAGGAGATATCTTGATCTGTAGAAATTATAAGATGATATTATTTACAGAAAAGCCATATGTTCTTGTATTCACGGTGAAAAGGGGAGGGGGGGAAGTGTCCAGCCACAAGACTGCAATTGTAAATGTCATGGGCCACAAAACATTAGATCCCACACTACTGCAATAATGTATAAAGGTCAACTGTGAGAAGCACCCAAAGCTTTCACTGCTTGTTTTTCACTCTTGGAAATCGTATGCCAATTTCCAGTTAATGTGTGGCATGGTGGGCAGTGTACAGTACTTTGACCCAGGATCCTAGGTCACTAGTCTACATCCCAAGGTTATTTTGAAGATAAAATGAGTTTTGAATATGTTGGAAGAAGAACTAGGTTCAACTACTTCTGTAATAAGCACGGAGTAGAATTCTTCATTTAGATCTTTTGACAATGGCCTACTCTTTTCCTCTTCCTGAGTTATTTCTTGACATCTGTTACCCTGTTATTGCTCTGTAGTAGAAATGCACCAACTCCAGTCAGTTTGATTGTGGGTAACTGGGATTCCTAGTCTTGCTCTATACCCAAAACAAGATGATGCAATATTCCTAAATTTGAGTTAATTAGTATGGATTGTGGGAATCAGCTTGCCTTGAATCAGAAATTGTAATGCTTTGGTGTACAGTATGTTGTCCTTGCACACAAATTGATCTGGACATCCTTCTTGGAATGAATGAAACTTTCTTTTTTCTCGCATTCATTGGCTTAGTTCTAAGGCTCACTCAGTACTAGTTGCTGTTGTTCCTATTTGTTTGGGACAAAAATGTTTCTTTCTATGGCCTACAGGTCCTGTCTTGATGTCTCTGAGACCAGGTTCTATGATCTTGAATTCTCTACCACCATTTCTTGAACAAGAGATCTCCATGGAAGCAACTAAGCCTATCCAGTGCTGGGACAGAGTGGCTGGTATCACAGAAAAGTCGAGCAAAATCCAAGAGAAATGGGGGGCCAGGAAGACTGAGGAAAGACGACAGGAAAGCAGACTAATGAAGTTATCTAATGGCATTGATATGTATGAATGTCCTCCACCTAAAACAGAAAATGAGGTACAGTGGTGTGACCAAGAAAAAAAATTGTGTTAGGAAGTAATTTGGATAAAATAGTTAAAATTAGCTACTTTCTCAGGAAGTACAAGCAAGATAGGAAACAAGGGCATGCCCCACTGGATCTAATAATTATACAGGATTATTTTTCAGAAGCACAACCCTTTGTTCAACTCACCAATTCTACATTACTGCTGTGACCTCTCACTTGAAGAGAGATCAGCACAAAACACAATTCTACTCTGTTCTTCCTCTCACTCAGGTTCAAATAACTGATACCAGGTGAGGAATGAATGGCAGAATGGGAAGTGTGATGGATATTCTGCTGCAACAGTAGCAGATGAGTAAACTGGATCCTAAACCCATTGTCAGTCTTTCATGTTGGAATAATTGTGCAGGAATGGATTAGATATATTTATTATAATTTAATTGATCTGCACATGCTAAACATTTTTTAGAAGGAGCATTCTCTTTTGCATTCTCTTGTACAGGTACCCCATTTTATTTCATCTCAATTCATATTTATACCTAAATTTCCATCATAGTCACTTCCCCTTTTGGATTCTGTAGTTTCAAATAGATGATTTTAATGTATGATTGTACACATGACATATGAAGTATTTGTTTTCCAGCTGCTACAGATGTTTTACCGACAGCAGGAAGAAATTCGGCGACTCCGTGAAGTGCTGATCCAGCGGGATGTTCAGATCAAACAGCTAGAGCTTGAGATCAAAAACCTTCATGCGGATTCTCGCCAGTTTTGACAGGATATCATTTGGCAGTCTTTGAATTTCAGAACAGATGTTGCCTGAAATTACTATATTTTGGAGATTATAGATTAGAAGAAGGAGAACTTCGGATTTATTGGCAATTTATTGCCTACCTTGAGTGCCCATATCCTGCAAGCTGGAAGTTGCTGGGTTTTTTTGTGGTGCTCTATTTATTGGACTTGTTCTTTGCAGGAAACTCTGTATTTCTAAGTGGTCTCATAATAACTCAGTTGGCGGTGTCTCAAAGTGAAGGCAGAACCTGTCTGGGTATGCTGAACATCCTGCAGTCCCCAGTAGACAACTGAACTTGGAAGAAGGGTGCTTGGACTTTTTCAGGCTGCTTAGCATTCAACTCTTTCAACATGGAGGTGAACCAAATAGGAGTGGTTCAGGATTCTTTCTTTTTGTTCTGCATTCTTGGATGGATCAGGATGATTTTGCACTGAGCTAGTTTGATCTCCTATAACCAAGGGGAGTTTATGTGGGAATATAAATCATAACCTTTTCTTAGCTTTATGAGTCGTCTTCTAAAATTACGTTTATGCCTAAGAGGTAAGGACCAAAGAAATGGGTGTCATTAATTTTAAAAGGAAGTAGAAATAGTTGCTTCTGAGAGAGCCAAGCTTTGGAAATGAATGCTCTTTATTGAGATGGAGAAAATAAGACCAATGCTGCTGAAGTGAAGCATATCAGAACCAGAGTGGGAGGGTTCTGTAGGCCAACTCAATATGTCTTCCATCTTTACCCATAATCTCTGAGGATCCACTTCATGCCTTAAATCAACTGGGAGTTTCATTACTAATTCTCTTAAGATGGCTTCCTTCCAATTGCCTGAAGCTAAACTTTCTACTGACCAATTCTTTCCTCCTTTATTGTTCTGAATATATACCAGAGTCCATAGGTATATGCAGTCCAGTGCCCAGAAGTGTCAAGATGCTGACTTTTACTTAATTCTAATAATCTCCTATCATCCCATTTATCAGTTTAAGAATCTAATTTTCCACAACTGTAAAATCACAATCCTTTTTTTGTCAAACTTTCCATTTTCTTTCTGCTTTGATGCTCATGACTAATACTTTACCTTATGTTTCATTTTATGTTTCTTTGCTGATTTCTACGATAGACTATGCAAAGCACTGCCACCAACACTTGCTTGAGAGCAGGATCAGCCACTCCAAAGATTATGAAGCCCAAGATGGGGAGGTGGGAGGTGCCTTTTGCTAACATACATTTTAGAAGTTTCTCTCTAATCATGAATGCTGAAAATGTTAACGAACAAAATGGTTGAAAAAGTTGAAAAAAAAAACCCACCTAAAGCAGCACCAGTCATAATAAAATTGTAAACTGCAACTGCCGTTAGAGTTTGGGCTAAGATATTTGTGCAGGATTTAAGAGCAAAAAATAGAAATTGAGAATTAGCACCAGAAGATTGAGTTGCAATTAAACTGAGGATTATAGTATAAACATTTAATACAGAAATACCACTGTCCAGCCACCCACTGTACTGCTTCTGATGCCAGTGTTTTTATGGCTTAGCCTATACTTGCATTCTTTTGTCTTGAACTAGATTGTTCCCTTTTACCCTCATTTTCCTTCAAGACCAAAGTTAAATCACCTCCCCTAATCCATCTTTAAACTGCAACATTCCCTAGTGGATTGATAAAACTGTGCAAGCATGCCTTTCCCATATTTTTTCTATGCTATTTCCCCTCACTTCCCCCACTGCTTTTTAGAGCAAGGACCCATCTCCTAGCCAATATGTACATATAGCAGAAGCAAATGATGCATTTCTTTTCTGGATTGTACTATTCAGACTTCATGTGGGTGGGATAGGGGTGACTCATGTTTTTCAATTCTTCCCTCAGTACGAAAAAGACCTCCCTGTATACAGCTATGTTCTGGTCCAGCATTTTCTTTGGCCTGTTGACAGTGAAACCTCAATTTAACAGACTTCTGTTTAATGGATTTTGGATGCAACAGACCAAATTTGTGTTTGAACTTGAAAGAATGGACAAGCCCATTGTTTCTGTAGTCTGTTGGGACAACTGATGTAGAGACATAAATATTTTACATCATTTGAATAATGAGATCATTACACAAATGACATAAATTATGTCAGTTGGATTTAATGGACATTTGGGTTTAATGAACACCCCAGTCAAGATTTTGGGTTGAAATTAATATGTACATGGGCAGAAGATTCAGAGCTATAGCTCCCTGAGGTTTCACATGCTACAATCCAGTGTTATAGTTAGTGTTGCTTAAATATGCTTTTAAAGAAGTATTCATAATGATACAAACCACATAATGGAATTCTATATTTACCAAGTTTTATGCATATAAAATGGATTGGCTTCTTAATAGTCAGAGTATTTGATATTAAGTGCTCATGGGATTTTAATTAGCACCCTTAAAAACATTTACATAGGTTACAGTTGTGATCAAGATATTAAAGTAATGCCAGTTATCTAGGAGATAGGCTAGATAAATCATAACATTTCTGGAATGTGGCCAGCCGGTATACGCAACTCAGGGCATAATTGTAGAGAGTCAGGGAGATGACCTTGAGGAAAATAGGCAAGAACCATTACCTAAGCAAAGAGGGCTAAAACATTAAGTCCTGGGAAGCAAGATAGTATTCAGAAGAGACTCGGGCAGATTCCTCCCCAATGTATAAAGACATAAGAGGGAGGGGAAGTAAAACACAATCAGACTTGCAAGATTCTGCTACTAGAGCTTATCACAAAAAAGTATAGCTGTAATCTTTCTGTGGAGTCAGTTTCCAGATTTGGGTTACCTTGTAGGGCTGACAATAGTAGAATTACTATTTTCTATAGCTAATCTGGGATATCTGATAAGTGTGGTAATCCCCACATTTTATATCCTTTTTGGAAAAAGGGACTGCGTATAGACTTTGTTGTCCCCACCTAAACAACCAATTGGTATGAGTCCATCTTTTGTTTTTAACACTTTATGAACTGATAGGGAGAAGCTTGGTAAACTACAGATGCAACATTTTGTTGCATAGGTAGAAATGCTGCCAATTAGGGAAGCAAAAGGGTAAAATCCATTCTTGGATTAAGGAGGATGATACCTTGCAATTTGGGAATTTGTCTCTTTTATCTTGTTTACAGGCAAATAAATTATATGAAGTATTTGTCAGCTTAAGATAAAAGGAAAAGGGGTTAAATTGCATTCCTAAAATGTACTGTTTGATTTTTTTGCATATTTTATGTATTGCTTTGATCAGCAATGTTAGTCATTTATCAAAGGGGTTTATAAATCCCAGATCTACTTGAAAAATGTATATATGTACTACTTTTTGTTCTGTTTACCAACAAACTTCTATAAAACAAATCAGCACTTGAAAGTTATTTTTAAAAATACCACTTGTTTTTAAAAACACTGAGATAGTACATGCAGAGCAAAATTTTAGTCATGTATGATTTCTGAGGCAGAGGAAAAGAAAAGAAAAATCTATATACAGTAATGGCAAACTGATTATGCTTTATTAAATAGCGCCTAACTATATTTAAAGATATATGGGTGATGGTATTTCTTTTCCATTACAGTAATTTAAAAGCAAGGAAATTGAAATGTCATTGTGGACACATCCCCATATGAAAGAATGACAAGGCTTGTACTCAATAAATACACGGAATGATCTTGGCAAAGCTAAGCATTGTTAATACCTATACCAACCATGTAACCAAATCTACAGTTACAAGTCCACAATAGCATTGTGCTATTGTTTAACCAAGCATGCCAAAAATCACCAGTGGCACATCAACAGCTTTAAAACATGTACATATCTCTTTTTCCCTTAAAGCTGAAATTCCATCAAATGGCTTTTTAGTAAGGCTGGATTTAGAACCTCTCCTTACAACACAACCACTGATTTGCAGGGTTGCAAAAAAGCAGCTTTGCAAATACATCCTCTGATATTTCTTTTAAACAAATTCCAAAATTCAGCTTTTGATCAGAATAGCACTAACAACTATGTGCTACTACTGAATGTATTATTTCTATCAAGCATTGAAACATGGGTATTAAGTCACAATCCATTACACATGTACCAGAAGCAAATTCCTCTGGGCACAATAAGGGCTACTACTATCCTGTATGCATAGGATTATATGTTAGCATGGCTGTGCAAAAGAAAATTGGGGTTTGTGACCACTGCTAGTGTAGTAATGGAGCTGGTCCTTACTGGGACATGCTGAAGAAAGGTGGTAACTGGTGGAAAAAGCAATCTGCTGTTTGAAATGTTTATACAAAATAGTTATAAAAATACATCATTAAATACACTACAATCAATAATATTTAAATAAGAAGTAACACATCTAAATAAAAACCTAGACTCAAGGCTGTGTGAACACCCAAAATCTTTCAAGCTTAGTATTGGTCACTCAGCAACCAGGAAGCACATTAACCTCAAAAGTAAAAGTATTCTAAACTTACTTATGCTGTGAAGTGCATAGTAATACTCAAGTCTCTGAGACTGGGGAGAAGGAAGAATCAGGGCTTCCTGTGTTCTTTACTTGCCTAGCTGATGCAAAATAAATTACATAACCTAAGGAACTTTCATAGATCAAAGAATCCAGCTTCTGCTGTTGAAGCAGTTTTATTTCACAACGCAGAGTATACACATCCCTGTCTGTACTAACTTTAAGCAAAAAAAAAAAAAAAGGCACATTTTCAGATTTCTCTGAATATAATAACTGCAAGATTAGTTTATCAAATAACGTTTATTTAATTCAAGTTCTTAAAAATACTTTTTCTGTTGTTGCATAAAACATCCTAATGTAAAAAATATCCAACGGCTTAGAAAAGGAAAAGGAAGGCAGGGAAAGCAAAGCATGAAGAACAGTCCCCAAAACTTTAGGACTCTATTTACAAAGCCTTGTTGCACAGAGAGTAAAAAGGGAAGTCCAGTCAGTGGGTAGTGTGGAGTCCCTATAGCCAGGACTGACCCATCACACTTGTTCTTCTTGTTAGGGCAATGGGAAGAGATGAAGGCCTGGGAACCCCAAGAGGATAAGTGAAGGTGCTAGCCCAAGAGGGCTAGATCTGTAACCACCTGGAGGAAGCAGCTGCAGGGTACATGGAATGTCACAGGAATAGCCGACTCTTTGGCTCTTTTTAGTGCTGCGCTTGGAGGGGGAGAACTACAGGTGCGCCACACGTGCTCCTCAAGTCACAGATCATCCAAGGGGTAGCCCAAGAAATACTGAACAGTCCTTTGGGGACACAGAAGACTTTAGTCATCATCTTCATCCCCTTCATCATCTGTTTCTCTTTTTCTCTTTTCACCTTTCCTACTATCCTCTTCATCTGCAGAACGAGAGAGAAAATACTCCATAATGACTATTCAAAGGGAATAAATTCAGTTGAATTATCCAATAAGCCTATTCAAGGTTCCATAAAAGAAGAGGTTCTAGAAACCTCCCATAATTGTTTATCATTGCCTATGCTGACTGGATGTAATAACAGTTTTAATTAAAAATACCTGAAAAGTGTTTTTTTATCATCCCCACATACAGAAAAGCAGCTAACGGTAGCTTTCAATCTTTACCCAAAGACAGGATCACACTGTTTTGTACAGCCATGCTAGGAGTGATGCAAAGAGAATAATTTAATATTCATTCTCCAAAATAGAGAATGGCTGCAGTACTAATAGCAGGAATGAAGGATGAGAGCTAAAGTCAGAAGAGTATGAACAATTACTTCCCATCATTTTAGCAGGATCATATTTCATTATTACAGGTAGTCCTTGAGTTTCAACTGCAATTGAGACCAGGACTGCCAATGCTAAGCAACATGATCATAAAGCGTGACGTCACATGACTGTGTTGCTCAGCAACGGCAACCCCAGTTGCCGTTGTAACCCCAGGACACATGGGTTGTTAAGTGGGAAGAGGTGGGAGTCCCAGGTAAGGAGTACAGGGGGTGCATTGGTGCTACGGGAGTACCACTAGAGACCACAGGCAGGTCAGTGGAAGCTGTGGGAGGGCCAGAGGAGGTTGGGAGTGGGTTGGTGGAGGCTGCAGGGGGGCTGGCAGAGGGTGGGGGGGCTGTGGTCAGGTGG